TCCGAACGTTGCCCAGCCGAGTTGAATTAGCCAATTGACTTCTCGATGGAATTTGGACTTAACCAGTCGGACTATTTTGTGATAGGTAAACATACAAGTCAACAACTTCGGGTTAGCTGCCGACATAGTATACATGACCTTCATCTACTTCATGTTTATCTCATCCTTTGGGAGGCACTGCTGAGGCCCTCCAGGGATTCTGCTATAAAGATTATTTCTACGCCAAATCGAAAGCGAGTAAAACTGATATCGTAATCTTACCAGTCCAATAGCGATATAACTACCACTAAATATAGTGCCACCAACTTAACTGTTCAGTTGACAGAGTCGCCAGAGGAGAGCTTACTTGCTGCCACTGTTTGAGCAAAATGCTAGTCGTTATTTGTGAGGTTTTTAGGAGCTATGTACTTGTTATTAAAAATATATAGCAACTAATAAAATATCTATTAAATTTTTACATAATCTTGATTCCATAATATCCAATTCCATTTTTTAAAGGAGTATATACTTAATGAATCTTCCTACAACTAAATCACAAAAATGCGAAATAATTATTGATAACATGCATCTCCTCATAAAGTAAGCATTATTTTATTTTGCGATTGACAATAATGGATAGACAATTTATTAATGAACATTTTGATCTATTTAATTTTTTCAAAGGACTAAAATTCGGTTTTATAAAGACCATACATTTTAAAATTTGGGCGTATTTCTTACGCGATAATACTTCAAAAAATGTCATTTATAAAGTACGTAAGTACATTTACTTCAATGTTTATAAAATGGCGGCCATAGTTCCAATTTCGCTCACCTGAACAGATAAGTTGGTGGCACTGTGGTAGTTATTAACCTTGTTTTGTAAAAAGCCTTAACTTATTATTAAAGGTATGAAAGTTCATATCATCTTCTTTCAAAATAATATTGAATTACTTAGAATGATAGTACAACATTTTAAATTAAAAAAATGTGTTACCTATGTTTCATTGCGATTTATCTCGTAAAAATGTGGAGGTAATTAAGAATTTGGAAGATTCCTATTTTTACTTTTTACAAAAAAAATTGTCTTTTTAAAATATATTGGTACTGACCAGTGCTTCGTACAAAATTACTTATTTCGCAAAACTTTCATGTAATGTTGTAAATACTGTTGAGGTGGCGCTTCTTTTCAGCTGACGCCTACGAGAGTGACTCACAGAAAATTTGGATACAGCTTATTTTAAATTAAAATATTTCGGTTTTTCTACTTTTAAAAGAAAAGAAAGTAAGCATATACGGTTTGTTAGCTTGTGATCATTACTCATAGGGTGATTAAGTATGTACAAAGACTATGTCGGGTGAATGCATTTTGGTTAAAGGAAAAGTATTAAATTAGCAGTAGTTGCATCTTACTTTCACTTGAAACCTGCAAAGCTGCAGATGTTCTCACCTCTGACCTCCTGGGCTAAGATGATCACCATCATAGCTTGTCTTCTACATACCCTTGAAACCGTAACACAGTGAATACGCTATTGCTTGGTGCAGAAATAGGTTAGAAGGGTGATTTTTGCCACAGACTCCTTGGAAAAAGAGGAGTCCCTATTACCTAGTTGTTACTGAAGTGGTAAAAGTCTTGAAAATCGGTTCGAAAACTATAAGGTATTTTACTACGTTTTTATTAAGTCACTTTCTTGTTTGTCTGTGTGTCGTACCTGGTGGAATATTGCAACTCAAATTTCGAGCACTTCCCGATTAGCTATGGACTTGAAATTTCGAACATAGCACAAAATCGGTTGCCTATGTAGGAATATGTAAAATAAATTAAAAATTGAAGCGACAGTAGCCTAATGGCAGAAAAAAAAAAAAAAAAAAAAAAAAACAAAAAGGAAACACACCAAAGATTAAAAAAAAAAAAAAAATAAAAATAATTTAAAATAAAAAACCCCAATATTATTGCTTAAAAAAACCCGTTAAAATTGATTCGCAATTTTTTAAACGTACCTGTATTCATGTAAAGGGATATCGTGAACACTTTTTCCTTACAAAACTTTCAAACAAATATCACGGCACTTAAAGTAATATAATGTTATTTGCAATTGAAAACATTGAGCACGCTCTATCGAATAATAATAACGTGCAAAACTGAGTTATTCGTTTCGTTACCACTATCACGTTTATTTTTCAAACGTGTCTTCAACAGCAAGAAACAGATTGATTTTGTCACGTATTAACTGATGTCAAGCCTGATTCGTTAAATACTCGAAATGATATTAATCGATTAAAGGTTTCATTCTATTTAAAATACCGTGTACTCTATTCATTATTTTATAGTTAATAATTGTTTGCTAAGATGTTTATCATTCATTCCAGTCTGTGAAAAGTCCACTGCTGAATATAAGCCTCTTCCATAGGTCGCCTCGTAGGGGGGATATTTGTAATAGCTGCCACGCTTGACGGGCGAGTTATTATATTAAATTGCTTTTATGAAGATGTTGCTGCCAATTTCCAGTTACACTTCCCTCTGTCGCCTCTTACGATATCCTCGGGATGATCTGGTTAGCGGATTCTCTCACGCCGCCACTGCACGGCGATACGGTTTAGAATGTTGAATAATTGCTATTATAATTTATTTGCAATAAGCTGTTATGACAAATTGCTTGCAACTATTTGATTTCGCATACTTTGCAAATATTGGTTTTTTAGTTCACGTATATTTCTAGAAATATGACGTGAAGAATAAGGTAGGTACTACTACTGATTTCTTATGTTTACGTGAACACTATACAATTGAATAAAAGTAGTTTTTACGGATTTAATCGTGGATACTAATTTTTTTATATTCCCGACGTTTCGAGCACTTTACTGCACCCATGGTCACCGGGGGGACTAAGGTGTTCAACGTCTAGATGTCTATGATCATAGATCTAGACGTACACAGAACCGCGGTTAACTACATCTGGACATTGAACACCTCAGTCCCCCCCCCCCCCGTGAACATGGTTGCTGTAAAGTGTGTTATGATGTATTTTAGACTGCATGAGTTTTCTAACTAAAAGGTTACGAGTAAGAGTATAGGATAATTTTGTTGCGACTAGTTTATGTGATGGTCAAGAAAGAGGCTGTTCAGCGGAAACAGTGAAAAGATCGGGGCGGGCTTGCAGGAGTCTATTCCTCCACTTTACTGGTTGTTCATTATTCAATACGATAAAGTGACCTCGAGGAGAACGATGATTTAACGTGATTTAAAAACATCGTTAAAGTTGCGCGAGGGCTCAGGGGTTCGTAAGCACCCTCGGGGCGGGATTTAATTCACAGCATAGCGGTAGCGGGGTCGTGGTTGCTTTCGTATTAATCGCCAAATCAGGCAAAAACGCGGCACGGCCGTACCATACTTTTCTCGAAGCAATTCAGGCCATTTTCGACCCCCTATAACTTCGTAGTAGATAAAAATAGAAACCTGAATTTTCAGTAATCGAGTAGACATTATATAAACGTGGTATATTTCAATCAATCCAAGTCAATCTATATATTTAAAACACATAAGATTTTTAACATTGATATGGTCACTATAAAATGTTGTTAGGTTAGCTAATTACGTAATAACATAAAACAAAAGGACCCTTAAGTAGGGACTGAATAAATTAACCGACTTGGTATTACGTGGATCTCACAACTTTTTACGGTAGAAGAACTGAGTTGCGAGACTTGGTTTTTTTACAAGTTATGTTTTTGACGGCATATTTATATTCCGTTAGGGTTACGCTGGGGTCGACCACTGATGGTTTTTAGTCGGTAGGAGTCCGTTATAACCTGTCTGCTTCCCGACATAAGTCGCCATAAGTTTACACGGATTGCTCATGTATTTTCAGTTCGTGTACTTACGCCAATCAGTGCCTACTAAAAGGACAGCACGGTCCTGAGCTAACTGCTTTCATCGAATTCCTGCATATCTTACCAGGGCGCCATTCCATCTACTGGGAGGCTGTGCTACACTTCGATACGAAGTTACCACTTGAGATCATGCTTTGAGGCGTTACTTAGAGGGGACCTATGTTCAGCAGTGGGCTTGTGAAGGATTGTAATGATGATGTGAAAAGAATAGCGAACCAAATGGGAGACCGGGGAACATACCAAGTTGATATAAAACAGTTACTATATATACCCAATATGAAGATCAGCGCGCATAATCGATACGGATGCTAAACAAAACTATGCATTTCTAACAAACTTAATTGAAATTGTTGTTAATTTCATTAACGTCATAGTCATCATTGCAGCTCATCACAACAAGTCTTCTATTGCACATGACTTTTTTATAGAATAAAGGTGGCGGATGTGCACACACTCCACCCGATGGTAAGTGGATGCTGTGACCCATAGACTTCTATATTTATCTTCGATTAATAATCGAAATGCAGATACGTCGTCACCCCTGAGGACTAAGATGGAAGCCTCGCAAAAAAAGGGTCTCCAGTTCTCTACACACCATACGAAACACAGCAGGCATAAGCTGCTATTTTACGCTGGTATTCCGTGAGAGCGTAGTCCTAACTTAGTCGAGCCGACCCTTTCGTGCTACAACCATAATTTAGCTGCGTATTTTCATTGATTGCCACGATGCTCCACTGATTATCACGTTTCATAATTATTCATCTTTAAACAACACTGTACGTTATAGTAGTTTAAATTTTCCAAAATTTCAATGCAAATGATGCTATTGTTTAAGGTTGCCAGTGGTCATTGCTACGGCTAGTGAAATGCCTTGGAGTAAATGGTATAGCTACAGCATTTGGCTCAGAAAATAAACCTAATATAAAATATAACCTGGGAGTCATAGTTATGTTGCCAGAAATCCAAAGAAATTCAACGGAGACTCTCAAGAATCGAATTAAAAAGGTAATTTATCAAGGAAACGCTCATTGTTTGCAATATTTATCATTTGAAATTATCTTGATTGAAAATTTGAATTCAGTTTTAGTTATAAATTAAGAATAATTTGGTTACAGTTACATAATTTGGGAATGAACAAAGCTGGATTTGATTGGTTGATAGCTGCTAGATCGTATCAAGACTTTAAACATGTCAACAAAATACTTAACGAAACTTCAGTTACGTTCGATGAAAATATTGTCGGTGCTTATCCTATTTACAAACAGAAATTTGAGAATGAGATGTTAGAACTATGTAATGATAATTTCAGCTACGAAACAAAAAGTAGTGCGCGAGGGGATGGATTAAGAACAGTACTAAGACTATCGAACAGTAGTCGCCATCTTAGCATTTGTCGATACGGGAATAAAGATTATAATTGTGTGCAAAATAAAATTAAATATGGATACTATCACAGTTCAGAAAGATTTAAAAATTTGATAAAAAATAGTATATATTCTAGTAATGGTAAGGAAATTCCATTGCTTGGGTCTGGCATTTTAAACTACAACTACTCAAGACATTTTAATATGATGAATGCCTCTCAGCTTTTCTTAAATATTACCAAGTGGAACCGTTCAAATTTAAAAAATACCAATACTCGTATGAAGGGTTTTTATTTGATTCAGTTTTTCAAATTGCGCATAAATTCTACTTTGTACGGGTCGTTTTTAGGTAAGTTATTAAATATGTGTACATACTATTTATTTATTTATTTATGCATCTATCTGACCGTTTTGCTAAAAACGAAAATTTTACGAACGAACATTCCACCTTAGTCCTCAGGGGTGACAATGCATTATGATTCCTAATCGAGGATTAAAAAAGTAAAAAATAGGCTACGACGTCCACTTACCATTAAGTGGACTGTGTGCTCGTGTGCGTATAAAATAATGGATCAAGTGACTAACCAGGACACTATTTATATAATTTTATTATTAATGCCTGGGCAATATGAATAAAATCGGGCGATGTAAATAATAATTTAAATTACATTATTTAACGCATTGTCTTCTCTTTATGAATATTGCTGGGTAACTAATAAGCGATTTGATATAACCTAACCTAGCCATGTTAATCATTTTTAAGACAATGTGTTAATATTGTACTAAATTCGAAATTAACAAATGTAAAAATGTGAAGGAAGTGAAAACTGCTTTGCACTACTTTAAATTACTTTTGCATACTTTCCTTTCGGTTAGAAAGAAAAAAAAATACCTTTGATGAAAATCTTTACTCCCATTTTGTTTAAGTGTTAAATATGTGATAACAAAACCTAACCTAACCTAATCTTAATTTAAACCTAAAGCTAATAATTATTTATTGTTCATAGTTCAGGTAGACATTTATTGTTCTAATGTAATGAAAACATGTCAACTTCTGCAGAAGTAAGCTAGAAAAAAATATTATTTATCCAAAAATAAAGTCAGAAATGGAAAGACATACCTAAAAATTTGTACTGTACTGATAGTCTAAGGATCTGTATGTTATTCACTGTCTTTAGGTGTTTGGGATAAAAATCAATCGATGTCACTAGTAGAACAGCCGTATCCTGTTGAAGCTCGCAAGTTCATGGGTGAACAACTTATATTTGGCAGATGTAACTTAACTGAGGAAGCTGGAGAAATACAAGAAGAAGGCCGGCCGCTAGCCCCGGCTTTATTGGATGATGTGCTTTATTTCCTAACTGCCCGTCTTAATACAACGTAAGTACTAAAAGAAGAACAGATCAACAGGTGAAACTTGATTTAAAATTAGAGAACGAGATTTTGAGACAATTTTTATAAGAGATTCCTGCCCTGCAGTGCAATTGTTTTTTAAAAATTGTGTTAACAACTTGTAACCTAAAACAAAATGTGAATTTAAAAGGTCATCGGCTCATAACAGATTTTTTGTATACTTAGTTGTAAGAGTGATAAGCAAGCACACCGTTCAACAGATGGATTTTTTATTAGCGCAATATTTGGTGGTTACCTTACCTAAATTAATGGAAACGAGGCATTCAATCTTAGTCCACAGGGATGACAACGCATCTGTATTTTGATTCTTAACGAAGACAGATGTAGATGTCTATAGGCCATAGCATCTACTTACCGTCAGATGGACTGGGTACTCTGTAGTATAAAGTTGACTATCTTATGCTATAAATAAAACCTATGATTCCTCGGGTGGATGAAATGTATACACACATAATTAAACTTATGCGGAATACCTACCTCGCTCTTGGCCGTTTTTTATGTATAATTTCAAACATTATATTATATATATCATTCATTTGAATATTTATTTACGAAGTTTATAAAGACGTATATATATATATATATATATATATATATATATATATATATATATATATATATATATATATGAGTGCGTGTATGTATGTATGTATATATTGTGTATGTATGTGTACTTATTTATGTATAATGGTCGCACCTGCCAACAATTGTCCTTGGCACACAGGGTTGACTGGCAGAGAATTCCACATGGCATTAAGTCCGCCCTATGTACCCTTTAGCTTAAGGTGTTACATGTAAGTTTTTAAATAAATAAATAAATAAGTAAATTATTTTTTACCAGTTTTATACTAGCAGTTTGTTAATATTTATGTTGGGCTGTATGTGTGATTGCTGCGTAAGAATATCCTCTAACATATTCTAATATCATCTCGTGAGCTTCATACGAGGCCACAGAGAAAAAACTGAAACAGGAGATGTGCAGCAGAGTCTTTCTGATAAAAGCTGTAATAATAAAAACGCCAACCTGTCTGACAAACATGGCAACAATAGCAAAATATGGGGTATATATAAGTATGACCTATGTTCAACTATGGCATTTCTTTAGGTTGTAATAAATTAATTAATTAATAATTGAGTATTTGCTGTATTATAAATCCATAAATTGTGGAATTATTTGCATTTAATTCTAAATTGTAAGGTGAATAATTAATGATAATGAACTAATAAATGTTTTTAAGTTATGAGATAATAGATAGAATTTTGGATAACTTTCATGTTTTTTCAGCCCGTCAATGAGATATTACAATAAACTTGGATATAGATCTTATGAAGGTACTTGGACTGGATTATTAGGAGCCTTAATGGATAACTCCATAGATATGGCATTGGAACTGGTGACGTCACACTCTTCTAAACACCAAGACATGGACTTCATATTTCCTATATCTGAAACAATGTGAGACCTAATTTTACCTTTCTAAGAATCCGCTTCAGCTGAGTTGATTTGACTACATCTATTTCTCACAAAATAAGCGTTGCAAAGAATGTCGGACACAACCAGTTATTAATAAAATTTAATGATACCTTAGAATGCGCTTTAAGCAAAAAAATGCAAAATGTTTTTGCGGCCATCGTTATGGTATTATTGTCCATAGAATGTAGGCTACATTATACATGACGGCGCTCTGGAGATGAAACAGCTCTCCAGTGACGGTACGGATATTTGCGATTTGAAACATGGTTATTCCACCATCCATTTCCCTTTTTCATATTATTGGCATTTATTTAAGTCGTCTCTTACGTGTACTAGATACAAGAACACAAGATCTTCTTTTTTGCCCCAACCATAATTGGGACTGAATAATAACGTTTAAGTAATTTACTTTATGAGTCCAGCTTCATTTGAAATTTAAAAAAAAATTAATGGATATTATTTTTTAGGCTGCGGTGTACATACGCTGTTTAATCTAAAGAGTTGAGATATAATTTTTAAAACTGTGGCATTATACTTTCTAGTTTTGGGATATTATCAGGCTAGGTCTTTTAAAATAATTATTAGTAAGCCTAAACTACTTTTAGAAAGACTAAATTTAATTTTTGAAAATATGAATTTCAAATAAACCCAAAATATGCTTCACCTCTTAATTTTTAAATAAATTAAAAATATAAATTTGTAAAATGTCGCTTATGGAATAGTCACTATCAAAATTGTAATTATAGATGAGCATATTCGAACTATAAAAAATATTGGAGAGAAAACTCGGCAAAAAAGAAATTGGCATTTTATAGAGGAACTTTTTTATATAATAAAGGTGACAAACGAGCAGGCAGTCCACCTGATGGTAAGTGTATGTTGTGGCCCATAGACATTTATATCTATCCTCGATTAAGAATCAAAATACAGATCCGTTGTCACACCTGAGGTCTAATATGGAATGTCCCGTTTCCAGTGAAAAGGGACGCGAATTCTCTACACCTACCTAACACAACAGCATTAAGCTGCAATTTTACGCTAGTACTCAGCTAGTCGAGACGAATAGTAATATAGCTGATGCGTGGCTCTATTATACTGAATTACTCTCCTAACTTACTGATTGCTCATAGGGGGATGTTTGCTATAGTTAGCATGTGGCTTGGTATGCGGGTTGGCAATAAATTTTTACCATACTATACCATACATCACACCTGTAATCCAAGAGTCAAAAGAGTAGCGAGAGACCAGATATATCCAAATAAAAAAAGTTAAGATGGAAAATTGTGAAAGGTGGCTAACCCATTGCAATATCTCATTAATATCCTTTCTCAATATTCTAGGCAAGTAATACTGTTGGATCATACTTTTTGTTATAAGTCCCAAATTATCATGGTGCCTTTAATTGTGCCGGACCAACATGAGAGACAATAATTAAGTTACGTTAATCAACATTTTCCATTTTTAAGCCTATTTTTTATGGGGAAATCCTCATGGATATCCGTCTGTCGCGTAGGTGTCAGACAGGTTATAGACTCCTACCGGCCAAAACTCCACTGTGTTCATCTGTTCACCATTAGTCAGGGCTGCGGGAACGCTTTCGCACACTACCGCAGTCCCGACGGCGACAGCTCTTACAGGGTCCGACTCGATGACTTCTTCATGTAGTGGCGTATAAATACACCGTATGCGCCACCTCGAGGTCCTACATAAGAGGCGACGGACAACCCCCGTGTCCGCCCCCTAAGCCTCAATTATGGTGGGTGGAGGAGAGCCTGATATGCTCTTCTCCGGCGCCGAGCTCTCCGGCTGCGGATTGGGATAGTTGCCGTCTTTTCCCTCTCCCTCTCCGCAGCCTCTTCGCAGGCAGCGCAGGTTAAAATATTAAAATAATCGTGAAATGAAATCCCAACTTTTACTAACATTCAATATGTTCGCCTTCCCATCTTAACGATGACAGCAACCACAATTTACAGGTTTAATATTTACATTCGGGATCAAGAGACGTCTGCAGTTCGTGATATATTTCTGGCTCCCTTCAGTCCTAGACTACTGGGATGCGTGCTTGTAATCGCGTTGGCCTCCGCCGTAGTAATCCTGCTCATCAGTAGAATTACTCCTTCCTTGATGGTGGATCGACCTATGGGTTTTACAGAGGCTTTTATATGGTCTATAGGAATATTGTGTCAGCAAGGTTTGTTGGTTTTTTGTTCTATTTTGTTCAAAAATGTAGTTGTTGTTTTCTTTAATAACGAAAGTTTATTACAAATTAGTAGTATTTATTAATAGATCAATTTCATAATATGTTTATATTATTATTCAAAAAAAATTGTAAAATAGCATAATCACTAGTTACATCCTATTTTTTCTAGACAGTAATAAAATCACCCAGTAGTATATTATCTATGGACATAAATACGGTAATAATATACTGGACAATTTTTTGCAGTCTCGAAAAAAATAGGGTGTAACAGGTAAACGGATTAAAGGCCTATGGCCACTGACCTCTATATATGAACTGGCTTTAGACAGGGCAGTTAAATAAATGGACAGTTTAATAATGAGGCGATTTGATTTGCACCATTTAGGCGCTGACAGCAGAAGTGGACGTCCACGGAACTAATAGTAGAGATAATACAGTGTGACAAAAAAAATCCTATATCTAAATACATAGAATGGACGTTACGGGTAGGCCTCCCCGTAACGTCCATTCTATTTATGTATCATATTAATATAATGCCATCATCATTCATCATTATTACAGCCCTTCACAAGTCCACAGCTGAACATAGGCCTCCCCCAAGGAATGCCACAAAGCACGGTCCTGAGCCACCTGCATCCATCGACTTCCTACATGTCTTACCGGGTTGTCACTCCATCTAGTGGGGGGACGACTTACACTTCACCTGCTGGTACGAGGCTGCCACTCGAGAACCCTGCTTTCCCATCGTTTATCGGTTCTTCGAGCTATATTTATACGTGGTAGAGCCATGCTGCAGTTATATTAGTAGTATAGTTGTAGCACGAATGGGTCGGCTCGACCGGGGAAGGACCACGCTCTCACAGAATACCAGCGTGAAATAGTAGCTTAATGCTGCTGTATTTCGTATGGATGAGTATGAACCGGAGACCCTTTTTACTGGAAACGAGGCATTCCATCTTAGTCCTCACGGGTGACAACGCATCTGCATTTTGATTCGTAATCGAGGATAGATGTAGATGTCTATGGGCCACAGCAACCACTTACCATCAGGTGGACTGTGTGCTCGTTTGTCACCATATCCTATAAAAAAAAATATGGTCGGCCCATTGCCACTTCAACTTACTAATCCGTTAGTTACTTTTAGCATGGGTTACCAAGCCACGGCTATTAACCCCCTCCCCCCGCCAAGGCGCAAGGTGGGAACCCGTTCAGGGAGGAGCTATTTTTCACCCAAACTCACGCAAACTCAGGACGTTGATAATTTTGCAGTACCAATATAAATTGGTCATAATTATTATTCATGATTATTCTCTTGATATAATAAATTGGTCTTATTTAAACAGATTTAAAAATTTACGTCTTGTAAGCTCAAAGTCATCATCAGGCGACCTTTCTACACTCTGCTATCATGGCCCTTGAGTTTGAGGGAAAATGAGAAGAGAAGAAATAAAAAAAAACATTCGATATAATAATCTAATACTTTTATACTTACTGGTACTGGTACTACCAGAAAATATTGTCGGTATACCGCACTTTTTCAAAGTGGTGCGGTTCTCATATCTAATAACACAGTCGTCTGTGAAATGTTTAGAACAAAAATGCTCATTTTATAAAAATATCAGTGCCATAGGCTTCTATTCCGTTCACCTATTACACCCTATTTTTTCCAGACGGTAAAAAAAATTACGCAGTATATTGTAATTGTACTTTAAAAATGATTTAACAAATTTTTGTTTTTCCATTTATGCACAGAATTAAAATATAAGCAATATTATCTATAGGATTATTATTCGTAATATACTTTGTATTTCTTTTGTTATTCATCTTGGTCGTTTACTGCTGTGGAACCATTGTAACACGTTCTATGGGAACGTGTTGCTATTCTTATGATTAAAATAAAGGTGTTTTAATTTTAACCATAACTATTATGTTTTGATACAGGTGGTACTCAAACGCCATCCAACTCAGCAGCAAGTGTCTCATTAATAGTGTGCCTACTTTTTGCTCTCGTGACATATAACTCATATGCCGCTTTTATCACCTCCGTATTATCCGTAAGAGTTGCAAGTGTGGACACAATTTCTGCGGTGTTGCAATCATCTAACTTAAAGATCGGTTACATTCGTAACGGACCTGATCAAATGTATTTGATGGTAAGGAATTAATATTTTTATTATTTATATAATAATAATAATAATTTATATTTTCTTTTGGTGCAGTGTTATCAGAGGTGAGCTTCCTAAAATTCAGAGTACCTGCAACCAGAGTTCAATTTCTTTTCTATAGAAGAAGAGTGACATGAACACACCACCTGTGGATGCTATGGCCCATAGACATCCAAATTTATCATCGATTAAAAATTAAAATACAGATGCGCTGTCACCTTAGAGAACTAAGATGGAATGCTTCGTTGTCAGTGAAAAAGGTTTCCGGTTCACTTCACTTCTATCATACAAACAGCAGCCATTATACCACTGCTTTACGACATTTTGTGAAAGCGTGATACCCCGGTCAAGCCGGCCTATCCGCTGCAGATATGTATAGTACGTTGAAATTCTGGAGGCTCAATAAAAATTTTATTTGTAAAATGTATAGTGGCGAAAGTAAACGTGAGGAAATCTTCATATTTAAAAAAAATAGAAATATAAAGAGGGCATGTGGAGTCCGCCAACTTTCACTGCAGAAAATTCTCTATTTCTGAATAGACTTATTATATGAGATTAGTGAGAGTACAATTAATACATTCACGAGTTTCTTTTATAGGATAGGATGACAAACGAGCAGAGCACACAGTCCACCTCATGGCAACTGGTTGCTGTGGCACATAGACATCTACATTTATCCTTGATTACATTATCTGATTACTGAGAATCAAAATGCAGATGCGTTGTCATCCGTGAGGACTTAGAAATGCATCGTAATATTAAATATTAAATAAAAAGGGCCTCCGGGTCTCTACACTCGCCATACGAAACACAGCAGTATTAAGCTACCATTTGACGCTGGTATTCTTTGAGAGCGTGGTCCTTCCCCGGTCGAGCCGACCCAATTGTGCTACAACTATACTACTAATATAACTGCAGCATGGTTCTACCACGTAAAGTTAATTGAAAGTAATTGAGAGTTCAATACGAATTGACGTTTCTGCCGAGGAGGATAGAGAGAGCGGGAAACATAATACCAACTCGTGGTCCCTTCACCCCACCTCCTTTACCATGGAAATTTATACGAATGATTTCCCTGAGATAAAAATCGGGAAATATGATACCAGCACGTGGTCCCTTCGCCGTCGCATCGTGGCTATAGCAGTGCCGCTACGCGCTTACGGCACTGGTATAGTTGCTAATGCTAGGGCAAGTGGTGCTTCGCTCTTTGCGTCCTGCTTCAGTTGTTGGGAAATGGGTAGGTGGTATTTTATCCCGGTGCGTACTTGTTTACCTATGTTTCTTCTAGCTTCAATGTTCTTTAGGTTTTTATTTCATTTTCTTGACAGTCCACCAAAGATGCGCAGCTTAATGCATTCTACATACGAGGCTATTCGGAAGCTGAGAACTTAGTTTCTTCTGCCGAGGAAGGATTGTTACGTGCAGCTAAGGAGGATTATGCGTTCTTCTCTGAACAAAGAGCTGCTCGGATTACTTTAAGGTGAAGTGAAATTCCATTAGCCCAATTTGTGCAGACCAGGAGTCGTGTAGTGGCGGCGTAAGAGAATCCACACTAACCTGCACTGGGAAACTGCCCAGGAGACAACAATATCTTGCTAATAACAACTTTAAGAACAGCGCTTGCCAACCATGAATGAAGGAGGACTATATTTAGCGGCACACTTTTGAATAGGCTGTAATGATGGTGATGATGATGATTTCGTATACATGCCAAAAAGTTTGTTAACAGTCATTGCCAGAACTTTTTATATGTCTTCCGATAGATGGCGCTATAACAATCTCAACTATCACAAGTGTGCAAAATGACTCCTCATATTATACACATACTAACAAATAAAGATGGAACGCTGCGTATACATAGTTCAAATGACGCATAAACCAAGCTCAATGTTTTGATACGCATTGACGCTTACATATTTCTTCTTTCTTTCTTTTACAGCCCGTAAAGTTCCATTGCTAGCACCCACACATATGCACCTTAAACTTGTTGTTGGTTTCAAATTATTTTAGTTTGTGTGTTTTTATAATAAGTTGAGCATGTTTTAAGCTTGGTTAAGCGTCACTAGAAATATACCCAGTGCTACGTCTATCTTTGTTTTTAGTCCGAGCTTAAATACGAGAAAATATGCATAATGTCCAGTGTTGCGATATCTAGGTGGTATAATGGTTTAATTTAAATGCAATGTTTCTCACTTTCATTTGTCTTATATTGAGCTCAAATACGATATCATCCAGGCTAATATGATGGTTTTGTTTAAATTTGAATTTATGTCTCACATTTCGAATTTGCGGAGTTGTTTGGTACTTTGGTATCTATTTTTGATAAATGCTGGTACCTGTGTTAAAACTCGAAATAGTTAAACTTGTAATGAATCTGAAAGCCTTGAGTGTTCAAATTACCAATTGTGTTTAATTACAATTAAGTACTGAATTACAAGCCATTTATGTGTTCTCATAATTTTTGTAACGCATGCGTACATGCGAATGTGAAAAATTCGATCGTAGTATAAAACAGGTAGAGGACAGACTTTTCCACCAGCTGTATGAGGATATTTGTGGTAACACCAAAACAAATGACTTAAGCATTTTATAAACTAATCTATTTTACCAAGTTGCCAAGCTTGGTAGGCAAGTTATCACCTGCAGTTTTCTATTAAGTTCCTTTATAGTTTTATTTGGGCAAACCCTGTTAGCCTTTTATGTTTGGTGGATATACTTATACCGTCATTTTTTTTAAATAGAATAAGAGTGACGTACGAGCACACAGTCCACCTGAGGGTAAGTGGGTGCTATGGCCCATAGACATCTACATCTATGTTCGATTAAAAATCAAAATGCAGATGCGTTGTCATCCTTGAGAATTAAGATGGAATGCCTCATTTCCAGTAAAAAGGGTCTCCGGTTTTCCATACTGACCATACGAAAAACCAACATTGAGACACTATTTTCATCTCGCATTCTGTGAGTAGTCTCTCTCATCGGTCCAGCTGACACATCCTTGCTACAACCACAATAAAGCTGCAGCATGGCTCTACCACATAGAAATTGTCATGGGTGTATTTAAATCAAATTGATTACTGTCGAATATTTTGAACGTGTCTAGATCACTCAGCCAGGCTCGCGGTCGGTGCTCATTACGTGAGTTGGCTGTGCCTTCGACACGCGCTCAGTTGGCCTTTCCACTTACACGAGGATCTCCATACGGTAGACCTGTATTAGTAAGGTAAATGAAGATAAGTATATTGTGATAAGTATCAAAATTATAATACAGAACAGACTTAATATTATTATTAGCTATGCTCGCAACTTCATTCGCATAATCTATTTCTTTGATTGTTTATTCCAGAGTTAACTGGTAATACTCTGAGTGTTATTTTAATTTCGCAACCTCATCATATAAACGATAATAGATTTCTTTTTTCTCTTTTTTTGAAAATCTTTACCCCACACTAGGATTTTCTCCTGTATCGTGGAGGTAGATAATTCCTACATCGAGGTTTAAGAACAGTAATGTATTAAAATAGAATAAAATTCAAAGAAAAAGTATAGAAGAAACGCATATTTTAAGAAAATCCGGTAAATTAGATACCGGCAAATAAATTCTACGATTATGTCTGATTTCTAATCAATAGCTGCTAATCAATAAAAAATATCACTGAGGAAATGTTATGACATAAAAATATGTCAACAGATGGTCGGACTCGTCAACATTTCTGTTTAAACTTTTTAAATGCGGAACCCCAAAAAACATACACGTCATCTTGTACCGATAGATATCTTTATATACAATGATGGACTTTTGATTTTGTGGTGCTAAGAAAATGAATCGGCAGCATTATTGACAGCGCTAAGAAGAGTCGACCATGTGAAGCTGGTTACACTGCTGGTGAGATTCATCAGAAAAGGATTTAGAATACAGGGAAAACGAATTAACTAAAATCAACTAAATTATACGTGGTAGAGCCATGCTGCAGTTATATTAGTGATATAGTTGTAGCAAGAATGGGTCGGCTCGACCGGGAAAGGACTACGCTCCCACAGAATACCAGCGTAAAATAGTAGCTTAATGCTGCTGTATTTCGTATGGTGAGTGTAGAGAACCAGAGACCCTTTTTACCGGATACGAGGCATTCCATCTTAGTCGTCACGGGTGACAACGCATCTGCATTTTGATTCGTAATCTTGGATAGATGTAGATGTCTATGGGCCACAGCAACCACTTACCATCAGGTGGACTGTGTGCTCGTTTGTCACCCTATACTATTAAAAAAAATGAAAGTTAAAGTAACAGCCTATAGAGGTACTTTTGCTGGACACCGACCTTCTCTTAACTCAGAGAGAGTTTTACGGCAAAGTAGTGCTGCTGCACTGTCCTGCTGTGTATTGTCGGACTTCACATGCCTCTTTTTCATCATTTTCATTTTTATCAGAATTTAAATCGACGTAGTAATAATTGCTCTCATGTAGTTTGCTGCAGTTGCGGGGCAGTGGTGTACTGGCGCGCCTTGAGGCAGCGCTGGTGCCCAGTATGCCAATGTGTGCGCCACCACCTCGATTCGCCTCTGCTCGAGCGACAGACGTACGCTCGGCTCTTATCCTCTTTTTAATTGGGCTCATTTCAGCGCTACTTACAGGTAAGTAATAACAGTGTTGCCTGTTGTACATGTAGTATATTTTGAAAAAAAAAGGTGTATATATATATATATATATATATATATATATATATATATATATATATATATATATATATATATATATATATATATATATATATATACAATATGTAACGTAATTAACGCGCACCCTCAGACACCCCAATTAGTATATTATGTTATAATCATAATACATACACTGAATTTTTAGTTAAACATTTTTATCCACTGATTATTTATCAAATTAGTTATACTAATTCCGGAAGAATGTTGTGATCACTGTACAAATCCACCAAAGCAAAGACTAACTTGCTTGAAATAAAGTTAATTTTTCTTTATTTTTATTCAATGACAGAATTAGTGATAATACAAATAAAACTGCAGTCTTAAAAGTCTTATTGCCTTAAGTTAAGGTCCATTTCAGTTTATTTTGACTGTACAGATTTAGTGTGACTGTAATTTACGTAGTTTTAATTATTTTTGGGATAAAAAATTACCTATATTAAAAATGATAAAAATCGATTCAGTAAACGATTCTGAACAAACTACTTTCTCAAAGTGCGTTAATTATGTTACATGTTGTATATATATATATAATTTATATTTTGAAATATTCCAGGCCTAAACTACCATCCATTCTGCTGGATATTTTTAAGTTTTGCTACCAAACGTCTGGAACTTATATCAGAAATCTGCCTGCTAATCGTAGTGATTGATACAGTTCTCTCTTGTTAGCTGAGTAGTCATAATTGAATATCAGTTCAGTACACGGAGATAGCTGTTGTACACCAAGAACTGAAAATCAACAATCTTCTACCAGATGTGATTTTCTGTGGAAGAAATCATTGCTTGGCAGAAGATTAGTAATCGCAGGACCAAATGTCTGGTAACATTGACACTGTTTCCTACCGCTGGTCTGGATACTTTATATCTTATATTTGGGAACTATCTCGCCGGCGGAATACCAATGCCGGTATTTATCGGAAGCTCCAGGCGTTTACGTTAGTAGCTTCTTACGATATCCTGGAATTAGACGTTGACACGGAAGGTAGAGCACAGAGTCGTGGTAGCTCAGTGGTTAACGCTCGCTGTAAATATAACAGAACGCGAGTAACCCGGGTTCGATCCCCGCCGGCACCAATGAAATTGTTAATTGCAATTTTAAGTGCTGATTTACCACGTGCTCGGCGGTGAAGGAAAACATCGTGAGGAAACCTGCATGTCTGAGGAATAAGAAAAAAAATATTTCGAAGACATGTGAAGTTCGTCAACACGCATTTGGGCAGCGCGGCGGACACTTCCTTGCCCTAAACCCTCTCAGAAATGAGGGGGAGGCCTGAGCCCAGCAGTGGGACGTATATAGGCTGTAACTTTACTTTTAACTTTTACGGAAGGTAGGGTCGAGGCGGTGTCGAGTTGCGGTCCCGCGTGCGCATGGTGCTGCAGCATATTTGTTTGTTGCGTATATTTTTGCGGGATGTATATATATATACAGTGGATTTCGGGTATAACGACGATGAAGGGACCACTCTATTTTCGTCGTTATATCCGGAAGTCGTTACAAGCAAAGGTAAAGTGATACAGTCACGTACACATGTATAGTTTATATTCATTTATTATTGAAAATATTTACACACATAATTATTCACTGGTACATTTCAAAATGCTACACAGAATATCACTTTGAACCATTTTAACTCCGAAACGTAAACGCTCTACTACCTACTTAGCTGATATCTATAAACAAAAGGTAAAGGTCTCAACACTAGCTGACCATCTGTGTAGATGTAAACAAAAGATAAGAAATGTTTGTGAAAAAAGGAAATCTTTGTGTCTTTGGTGGCCGCTCCGGTCGCAATAAATGCATGGGATTTATAAGAATTTGTTACAAATGATTCATTAAAAATAGTCGCTATACCCGAACTCGGCGTTACATCCAAAGTCGCTATAGCCGCATGAATTTTGTACTAAAGTATGCTTTAAATTCAAGGGACTTAGATTTAACGTCGCTATAGGTAAATGGTCGCTACAACCACGGTCGTAATAAATGAAATCCACTGTATATCGATTCTATGTAATTCATTGCAGGTGTCGGAGAGTATTGTTGGAAGAAACGTACACAACTACAAAAGTATACGATTGCGTGCTGCACGCGTCTTCGAAATGTGTTTGAATAAAACAGTAGAAGCTTCACCGCACAACACCACCAAGTCTCGATTCCCTTATTATAACGGTCTTAAGTCATAGGCATCCAACGACCGTAGACTTTTATGAAGAAAAAATTTGCACATTATCCAGTTAGTAATGAAATAAATATAAGCCATTGTGTAAAGGCATTATATTGTAGTTTTAGCTTGTTAGTGCAATGTTTCTATGTAAAAAGACGAAAAAACTAACTTTTAACAGAGCTTGTTGCTCTGGTTGCACAGGTATATAAATAAATTAAAATGAATTAAACCAAAATATTTTTTTAAATTACAATCACCTACACTTACATAGTGATTAATACCTTGTAGTATTTTCTGCCAGTTAGTCTCGGAAAAAGAGAAAAGTGTTTGCAGGTGCAAATTTCAATTAAGAAAAAAACCGGACAAGTGCGAGTCCGACTAATAAAACTACGTAGTTAGTTCATGTATTCATGTTCATGAAATCAAGTTTCGATTTTAAGTACGTCCGCGCCTGCACTTGCACCGTCCCGGCCCACGTTGCTCGCCACCCGTGACATTGTTCGCATGGACAAATACCGATCCTAAAAATTCTTTTACCATTAAAAAGTTATTCTATACCTAAACTAGTACAAAGATTTTGTCAAATGTTTTGGCAACAGTTTCATTGTACGTACAACTAAGGAGTCGAATTCTTTAAGTCAAGAATGAATCGGTTAAACATGCTCCACTGTCGACCGCATCATGGCTTTCCATCAGTTGAGAAAAAAAAGAAAAAAAAAAGATACATAGTATTTACTTATGTGGTACTTACTATGGATTATAAAACCTTAAATGACCTCAAAGTTTCTATGTTTACTATATTTGCAGTGGTGTTGGTACCTGGTAGCAAAATATATGGGTTTTCAGAGTCAAACCTACACATAATTAATTGCCTATAAGAAAAGTCTTTTCTCACGTTGAAGTCCATCATCGACAAATTTTGTTGCTGTTATTTTTTTTATAGAAGAGGGGGCAAACGATCATGCGGCTCACCTGATGTTAAGTGACTACCGCCGCCCATGATCAACCGCAACACCAGGGAATTTCAGGTGCGTTGCCGGCCCTTTAGAAAGGAGTAAGCTCTTTTTCCTGAAGGTCCCCTGGTCGTATCGGTCCGGAAAAATAGCCGGTGGTAAACTATTCCACAGAGAGGTTGTACGCGGAAGAAAACTCCTTTTGAAAAGTACAGAGGTGGACCGCCAAGCATCCAGATGGTGTGGATGGTATCGGCACGTTTGCCGCGTAGTGCTTTCACGAAATTTAGCGGCTGGGATTAATCCGAACAATTCCTCAGACCACTCTCCATGGCATATGCGAAAGAAAATGCAAAGAGATGCAACATCTCATCGCAGTGCCAGTGAATCGAGCCGATCGGAAAGCACTTGGTCGTCGACGATAACGATACTAATATATTCACTATACACAATTGCAATTATAAGTGCTGATTTACCATCGAACGACACAAACAATGTCTAAGAACTAAAATATTTTGAAGAAATGTGAAGTCCGTCAACATGCATTGGAGCAGCTCCACAGACTCAATAAACCCCTCAAAAATGATATATCTATTCCAAGTGTACATATTAAAAGTTTTACTTGACCATTAATAACGTTACTACAAAAAAAAAAATAAAAAAACCAAATTAATAAATAAAATGATGCATTATATAGTGCACTTTTCTCTTTTTTTTAATATGTTAGTCAAAAGTAACTGTCAGAATTCAGTGGTAAGAGAAACAAAATCCAGGAAATGATTTACCGTTACCACACCATTACAGACTGTTAAAAGTCCACTGTTGAACATAGGCTCCCATAAATTGCCTCATATGGGGGATTTCCCGTAGTTGTCTCGCTTAGAAGGCAGGTTGGCTACCGCAGTTTTTTTATTTCGAGTTGTTATCAGGAAGATGCTGCTGCCCTTCTTCTGTTTTATTTCATCTGTCGCCTTTTGCGACACTTTCTATTGCGACACTGTCACTACATGGTAAGTTATTTACTGCCATGAAACCCAACTGAATCCCTTTGGGATCCCTATGAAAAGTTTTTGTATCTTCTGAAACTTTAATAGGAATAAGAAGGTAGAAAAATAAAAATAAAGTATCGAACATACTAATTTATTGTTAAATTACAATAACTTAAATTATCCACGTCTAAGATAGTGGTCTTCAGGGAGACGCTGTAATTTGATGGCCTCTTCCAAACATTGACGTAAAGGTTTTTTGGTTTTTACAGCATTTGCCATAGCCTCATGGATTGTACTTGATTCAGTCGTTTGTAAATCTTTCGCTAGACCAAGTGCTGCCCATACTCGTATAAATGCCGTAGAACAGCCGGAATCTGAGGGAGAGGTTTCAAATAAGCTGGCAGTTTTAGACAAAAGACGTGGTTAAAGTTAAAGTTTAAATTGTCGGATAAACTAAAGTCTGGAATTCTCCGCTTGATCCTCTACCACTGCTAGCTTTTATAAGTATTTTGCTGACGTAATTTTAAGTTTATACATACATTGGAACACCCATATTTCTCCATGAACTTTCTGTTTTAGAACATCTTACAATTGAAATCATCTTAGATTTTAAATAATATTCCCTTTGCCGGCAACTTTCAGTAAACTGTATCCTATTCTAAGAGTGTTTAGTAAGCAATAGAGTTATCTTAAGCAATTTAGTGTTAGAAAATCAGACTAGTTAAGGCCTTTATTCCATTCATTAATGTTTACTAAGTTTGAGCCGTGGTAGCTCTGATGGTTAGCGCTCGCTGTGAATTTCTACTTTCTAGCCTGTGACCCTGCGAAGTGAAAAGGTCAAAGATGCCTACTAAATTTATAGTTTTATTGACGTTCTTAAAGTAGGGTGTATATGGTTTGAATTTCGATAGATTTTAATTAATTAATTTATCTAATTCAAGTTTTTTAGTTTTTGTAAAATATCAGTGCCATAGGCTTCTACTCCGTTCACATGTTACATCCAATTTTTTCCAGACGGTAAAAAATGTCATCCAGTCTATAAAAAGTAACGTCATTTTTTTGTAAATTTAAAGTGGCAGATCCCTTCTTGCAGCGAACAATTCATCATTTTTAAAGGGCAACGATTCAGCCGCTCCCCTAGATTTAGCATAGTGAGTGTGGCGGCTGTAACTAATTTTATAGACTGCATAGGACCGCGTGGACTTACACTTTGACAGAGAGGAACACCCGCGTATTACTCCCCTCCGATCCTCCGGTAGTTCGCATTGCTCTATGGTAAAGACACAGGTAATGTGTGATGGCAAATCTTTATTACGCAGTAGGATTCCTTTTCTACAGAGAAAACCGTTTGGGTTGGTGCCAGCAGTACGCCCTCTGTTGTATTACTGTGTGAAGGGTATCAGAGCCACAGTATAAATTACAGCTGTGAGACATTTCATCTTAGTTGTACGGGAAGACAATGAATCTGTCGACTTTTGACCCGACTGCCTGAGAATGGTGTATGTGTTCGAGTATATATGTCTATTTAGCACGTGGCACCCTCTGTAGCTTAAGCGGCATGATGGGTTTTAACATATGGGTTTAATAACGATTTATTTTCGTCGTAGTTGTGGAAGTGACAAGGCATGATATGTATTTTTTTCTATTTTCGTTACACATTGTACGCAGTCGAGTTATTTTCTTCAACTACTGTTTTAACAAGTGTGTTTTTCGTTTGTCATTTTAATAATCAAAATCACTGGATACTTACCGTACGTTCCATACTCTCCTGATTTGTAGTCACACGGATAAAGGTAGTGATAATGTGGCCAATAGGATCGATTAACAAAGAACACTAAGTTAGAGTCTGGCGGGTACCTGTAAAAATAATTGAATATTTTAACCTGTTAACTACAATATATACAGAGTAATTTTACAATAACTGGCCAAATTTGCGTAGAAGGCTTAGAATAAGTAATATATTTACCTATATTACTTATTCTAAGCCTTCTTTGAAGAAAATTAGTTCAGTTCATTAAATAAAAAAAATTACGAACATTTTATTCTTTTTATCTTTTAATCTCAAAATGCGTGGTAATGCATTATTTTAAGTGATTTTACTGCTCACGCACACATTCGTAATGGTCAATCGGTAGGTTTGCGTGATAGATTCGTAATAAGTATATCCGCAGCAGAACCAGAGTAACGATGGTAGCTGAAGTCGTAATGCGCCCGCCGGTCATAGAACTCGAAAACCCAGCAATCACGGGAAGAAGAGTTCTCACGTGGCAGCTTCGCACCAGTAAAGGAAGTGTAGAGTGGCTTCCTACTATTTGAGGTAACGACCTGGCAAGACACAAATGAAGTCAATGGCTACAGTTGTGTCAGGACCATGCTTTGTGACATTCTTTGGGGGATTCCTATATTAAGCAGTGAACTGACATTTTCCAAGCTTTTAATTATCAACCCTGCACATAAATCTCCATACCTTCGTTACAATAAAAGCATGATTTTGCTGAATGCAAGTAAACACGAAGAAGAATGAACGCCTGTAACTTTAACGTAGTACTCAGTAGTACTCATACGCTACAGCTGTACTATGACCGGATGAACTGGGAAAGAAACGCGCTCTCCGCAGCTTTAAATAGCAGCGAAATGCTGCTGTGTTTCGTGAAATGTGTGACGAGAACCGGATACCCTGTTCGATCGTAAAGGCATTTCATCTTAATCACAATAGATAGATGTAGGTACCTATCGACCACAGCATTTTCGAACCATCATGTAGACTGTGTGCTCATTTATTTTATCTTTTAACTTATCACCTATTTGGGTTCGGGATCTTGCCCTAAAATCTTCTCAGGAATAACAGATGGTTTATAATATCCAGCAGTGGAACGCATATTGAAGTAGCCTGTTACTACACTTTCTTATCTTAATTTTTTGGATTTAAGATTTCATATTCAAGTTTTTTTTTATATACTTGAAACGACAAACGACCATTTTTACATCGGAAAATGCCACAATAGTT